TGGCATTTTAGAGAAAGAATTTTTATTAAAAACATAATTAATGCGCCCAGTAAGGAATAGTTGTATTAACCATACATGTAAACAGAGTTTTATGGGGCCCTAGGCAACTGCCCAGTATTGCCTAATGGAAAATCCATCCCTTCATTAGTTATGTATTGAATGCAGGTAATAATCATGTTTTATGACGTCATCGAACACTCAACAATGTGCCTTATTGAAAGCAGGTGTCAGTGATAAACAGGCTATAAATGAAGGGCCTGTTAAAGCAGGGCTCCTGTTAGTGGTGGGTCTGCAGAGGTGACCCTACCTACTGTTTTCTCTCCTAAGCAGCAGTGCGGGATAAGTACCAGTGACATCAAGAAGCTGGAGGATGCAGGGTTCCACACCATCGAGGCCGTGGCCTACGCCCCTAAGAAGGAGCTGCTCAACATTAAAGGCATCAGTGAGGCCAAGGCAGACAAAGTGTTGGTAAGAGAAGCCAATCCCTTCACTCTCACTCTGATCCAGGAAATAAAACCGTACACTGAATAGAACTGGAAGAGGTTTATTTCTCCACCAAATGAAGATCAAGTTTCTGGGTTTACTAAAGCAACAGCAGCCAGGCCAGCCTGTCATGTTGGCAGTGATTCCAGCTGAAGGGACTGGGAGCCTGATGTCACTGGGAAGGTCTGAAGGGCCTTTATCAGATAGCAGCTTCTGGGTATTAGAGTTTCTTAAAATATATTTAGCTAAGGCTGGGCAATTGATTTGCATTTGCTATATAATCGCAATTTTTAAATCACAGCGGCACTGATTTTTTAATCACACTATATTCAAACAAGAGTAAGCCTCTACTTTCCTGCCTCCTGCCCTTCAGGTGGAGGTAAAACACGTAATGTGGGTTTGTTGCCTTACAGAAAGGTATAGATTAGAAATCAATACTTTTTAACACAATGATAACATTGAAGTCCTGTAATAATGGACTCTGGTTGAGCAAGCTCTGAAAACCTGAAAGCTTGGGTTGAAACATGTATAAGCTTGGGATTAGTGCAGGGAAAATAGAAATAAAATCGCAAAATAAGATTTCTGGCAAAACCGTTCAGCCCTTTAATTAACACATATGAAGAAACTTTAGAAGAATGAAAATGTTGGTCAGCAGTGATGTTAATGAGGCATCTTGAAGCCAAACCTGATGCTGCATTGATTCTGTCTCAGAGAATACTGACACCTGCTGGACATTTAAAGACTCTACAGGCAGCTGATTGGAATAAACTGAGTTAATTTGATGACCTAAAACAGTGATATCATTTATTGGAGGTTATATTTCATATCAGCCAATAAATAATGTAAACTCATTGAATAATCACATGATGCTATACTTCCAGCCACTCCCTAATGTGACTGTGGGTGGCTTTTGGCCTGGAGCTGATGTCATCAGACGGTGCCAACGTTCACAGGGTGTTTCGACCCTTATTCGCTACAGCCTCCAGCTGGCGGGTCAGCAGCGGTGGCCAGGTCACTGCCCATCATCTCCAGGTCTCCGGTCAACCTCCTCCCTCTTAAACCACAACCAGCATGAGGCTCTCTGCTGCCTCCCCAATCCTGCGCTCAGCTGCCTTCCTCTGCTTCCCAGTGAGCTCAGACCACATTGACTGTGCTGGGAATCCTCTGCACCCGACCTCCACTGGAAACAGCCATGCTTGCCAGCCTTTGTCTTTGCAGTCCATGATGCGTTCCTGGTATTTTAGGTTCTTCCTCTCATGGGCCTCCTCACAGCCTTCCTCCCAAGGCGCAGCCAGTTCCACCAGGATGGTTTTCTTACCTTGCTCTGACCAGATGACAATATCAGGCCTCAGGGTTGTCTGGACGATGGGTGGGAAAGTGAGCTTCTTCCCCAGGTGGACTGTCATCTCCCACCCTTGTGCCCCCTGGAGGATGATGGTCCTGGCTCTTTTATTAGATGATGGTTTTTCTCCTGCCCTGATGAATTGCATTGATGGTACTGGTGGCTTCTTGGGCTGTGGTCTTCTGCTGGTCTGCTCCAAAATGTCGGCCATCACTCGGAGCACTTGGTCATGCCGCCACCTATATCTCCCCTGAGGCAGAGCGATTTGGCACCCTGCTAAAATGTGGGCCAGCGTCCCCCTCTTGCAGAGCGGGTCCTCCATTAAAGCCCCACCTGGCTAAGTTCGCTGGTGGGGGGAACGGGTCATACACGGATCTCAGATGGAAGCTAATACAGAAAGGTTCCAGCCTCCATGTGACCCTCCTGTTTGGGAGGTCCCATCTGGCACATGTTCCCTCGACAGCCTATAAATAATGTAAACGTATATCGTAACCAGAACATTTAGGGGAAAACGTGAATCAGGATGCTTGTTGATTTTAAATCATAATTTTAAAACAATAAGTCCAGTGAAAACAGTGAATAAATTAAGAGTCAATTTGAAATGAACTTTAATTCAGATAGTTGAATGATAACTGAGAAGAAAAGGATGACACAACGAGGAAATAAAAATAAGAACGCAGCGGCTGAAACGTTCCTGTTTCTTTAAGGCTCCAAAATTCTGGATCATTTTAACGATAAACGGCAAAAGATGAGCCATTTTTCTAGCAGATGCATCATGGCGACAGATGTGTTTTTAAACCCAGTTTAGTGAGTCGGTCACTTGGAAACAGCTCCTGGATCGGTCTCATGATGTCGTGACACCGATGCAATGTTTGCTCTATGGGCTCCACCCATGCACCCACGCATCGGGGTTAATGGAGCCATCACTAGTGGTCAGTATTTCCATGCTCTTCATTCCTTCCCTGACAGGCAGAAGCTGCCAAACTGGTGCCGATGGGCTTCACCACCGCCACAGAGTTTCACCAGAGAAGAGCAGAAATTATCCAGATCTCCACCGGCTCCAAGGAGCTGGACAAGTTACTGCAGGGTACGCCCCATCTTCTGACCCTCACAGCGAGGAGACAGGAAGGTGTTTGATCACGGCCATCTTTGTTCCTGCACAGGCGGGATCGAGACGGGCTCCATCACAGAAATGTTTGGGGAGTTTCGGACGGGGAAGACGCAGCTGTGCCACACGCTCGCCGTCACCTGTCAGGTAGGGTCCTCCATCACGGTGTGAAAAGCCGTGCAGAGGTTATCTCTCCCCTCTGTCTAATCCTTTCTGGTGTAAAAATACACAAATAAAACCCAGTGGAGCATAGAAAGCTCCTTTAAAGGCTGTGCCTATAGAAGCAGTGTTTTTTCTGTCTGTAGCTGCCTATCGACCAGGGAGGGGGAGAAGGTAAAGCCATGTACATCGACACAGAGGGAACCTTCAGACCTGAGCGGCTGCTTGCTGTAGCTGAGAGGTGAGTCTGCAGCCGTTGTTCCTCATCCTTAATCATAAAGGCGGATGTTGTTCTGATCCTCTCGTTCTGTTTTGGTCAGGTATGGGCTGGTAGGCAGCGACGTCTTGGACAACGTGGCGTATGCTCGTGCTTTCAATACAGACCATCAGACCCAGCTGCTTTACCAAGCCTCTGCCATGATGGCCGAGTCCAGGTCAGTCCCTCGCTTTCATCACATTTCAGAGAAACACACGGCATCAGTTAAAGGTGCAGTAGGAGATCCTGGAAAAACGGTTCCAGCAAGCTATATTTTT